GAGTGTCTTGCCTTGCTCTGTCTGTGTGTTTGTAGAGATACACACAGCTTACGAGCACACAAGGGTGGCTCCATAGGAACATGCAAGGGAAAGGAGAGACCCTAAACAGGATATCAGGACCAGTGCTCATTGGACCAGTTGATTCTGCAGCAAAACTAAACTTTTAAACATCAAAGAGCAGGATCCATTGTAAGTCCTTTAGACTTTAATATTGCTTCAATGCTTTTACGTTTGTCTCCACCGCATACTGTGAGCAGATTACATTGCAGTTCTGGAGTCTGGCAACTGAATATAACCAACCCGCGGCCCATTTGCAGCCAGCAGGACTCAGGAGGAGCTGAGCTCAGTAGCTTAGTGAGCCTGGGATGCTCAGAGGCTCTGTTGTGTCACCTTGTAAGTCTTTCAGTGATGGAAAGGGAGACGAATTTAATGGAGAGGGTTTTGCTGGGGAAATGTTTGTTTCACATTCTCTGTATTCATTCAATTATTATTACTAAAATTAATTTGATGTATAGAAGAGCGGTGTAAAAAATAATCAGCCCCCGGTGTCAGTTACAACTGGGTTGGCCACTCTGTTAAAGTATTTAAACAGGGGGGAGGGAAACTAATTCCCTTGAAAGAAGCTTATTGGAATGTACAGTAAGTGGAAAACTTTTTATTGTTTGTTATCTGTATTGGGAAAGGGAGGCCAACACAGCAATGGAGATGAGGGCTGGTGCAGACCTGGGCGATCCAGGACATGCGTCCCGGGACCATGTGATTGTGTGCAGTTGCAGTCAGTGGTTCCTGTGTGACCCCATTGATTTCAATGGGGTTACATCCATGCGGCAATCGCAGAAAAAAGGTACATGTATCTTTTTTCGCAACACACAACATGCGACGGAAAACCGCACGATCTGGAACCGGGGTGCCATTAGTAAATAATGGCACAGCCAGCATGATCGGCGGTGGTGGGTGATTCCGTGACCGCACGGAATCACCCACCGCATGGTTTCGTGCATGATTGCCACGCGGTCACGGGTCGCCATAGTGTGAACCTAGCCTTAGAGTGGCTGAAATTCAGAAGAGTGTTAATATAAGGATGGATATGTAAGATGAAAGGAAAGTGGAGAGAGAAAGAGGAGGGAGAACAGAAGGAAGAGAAGAGGAAAATCTGCTCTGCCCTCCAATAATACTTATAAATCTTTTGGGTGCAGTAAGTTTAGTGTACTTCCAGGCTACCAATAAAAGGCACAAAAAAAGATCTCTGCCCCTCTGCGCTGCTGCGGCGTATTGGCTGTACAACCTGTTTGCCTCCAATCCAGATCAGTGAAAGGAATGCCCTGGAGTCTGACACGAGTGCCTTGTTTCCATTTAATGTGAAAATGCACAAACTGCCGACAGGGATGTAGCCAGGACCGCTAACGTGTTTCAATTAAAACGCTCTAAAGAAGAAATCTGGCAAAGAAAAGATTTACACTTGCAGTGGGACTAGCCCCGCATTGCAAGGGCTAAGTGCCCGTTAGACATGTGCAATTCGTTTCGGAAAGATTTGTTATTCTGACAAATTTTCAGAAATTCGGAGATTTGGATATATCCGAATTTCCGATAATGAAAAATTCGGAAGAAATTTGTTAGAGGTAGTCTGTACGAATATTCGTTGCCGCAAAGTGACATCATAGAAAAGAAATTTTTGTTTTTTTTGTTTTTAACAGTCTGCAGAAGAGAAAGGAATGGGCGGAGTGAGCTGTGACATTTCGGCTCCGCGCATCTGTTTACATGCGGGCAGGTGATGACATTTTGTGGCGAGTCTTCGTTGGGTTTGCACGGATCGTCTTGCGGCGGGACTTTTTATTTTTATTTTGGCGGGTCAGTGAGTGTCGTGCATCGTGATTGACGCTGGATTACATCGATGGATCCATTTTTTTAAAAGTAAAGTAATAGTCAAAGTGTGATTTTCTTTATTTACTTTTAACCCTTTAGTGAATGAGTAGGGGTGCAGGTACCCTTTACTCATTCACAAGGTGGGGCAGCATCTTGGTGCCCCTTAATTAAAGGGGTACCCCGATGCAAATAAGCCCCCTTGCCCGCAGACCCCCCACAACCACCGCATCAGGGTTGTGGGGAAGAGGTCATTGTCCCCATCGGCATGAGACCACCGTCCCAATGTGGCCTGGTAAGGCGCAGGGAGGGGGGGCGGGGCGCTCAATCGCCCCAACCCCCCTTTCCTCCCCTGTAGGGGGGGGGGGGGGGGGGCTCCTAACATTCCTACAAGACCTAAAGGGTCTGATATCAATTGGGGGGGGAACCTCATGGTTTTTTTTTCCTTTTGTCTAACGTCACTTTCCTGCAACGAGTATTCGTCTAGAAACGAATGTTCATCCAGACTACCGCTAATGAATTTCTTCCAAATTCAAATCCCGAAAAGGATTGACTTTTGGACATGATTCCCGCAAAAACCGAAATAGCGGAAAATCTGAATCAAAACAAAACTAAACATATTTTTTTGTATAGGTGCCCGTTTTGTCTCGCAAGTAAAGTATGTCACCAGCACACCAAAGTAAAATATTCAACGAGTGGTCATTTTATTGATGTGCACACATCTCGTCATAGAGCAATGCTACGGTGCCACTCAGGGTCCCTTCATCAGGCATGACATGTGTGCGGTGGAAACCTCTTTTGGAACTCGTTTTGTCTAGGTGGCTCAAATAAAGCTGTTTTACTTTCCTGATCTTCGGTCTCAAGGCAGTCAGCACTCACCTCCTTTCTGCTCCAGATGTCAAAATGTCCCTCAGCATCCCCCTGTCTAATGCAAATCAATGGACCTGTATAAGACATAATGACATCAAAGGCCCTTAGTCCATTGAAGGGAAGGGGAGAAGAGGCTGTGGGATTGGTGAAGCAGCCTGGCAGGACCGAGGATCAGGCAGGTATATTTGCTTTGAGTCTCTGACACAAAATGAGCACTTAACCCTTGCAGTGCGGGGGTAGCCCCACTGCAAGGGTAAGTTTTTTTTTTTTGTTTTTTTGCCTGGAGTTCTTTAACTATAGTTTCCAGAGTACCATCGGCACCACACTGAAGTCTCTTGATAGGATGTGTGCTACAACCGACTATGAATATAACAAAGTGTCATTAGGTTTAATAATTACTGAGTGTCATTAGTTTACACAATAGATAAGGCCGGAAATGGCTGCTTGTGTATCAGTGCTGGAATGACACCTATGTTCACAATGCAGCTCTTCTTGGAACTGACAGATGAAGAATATATTTTTATATTGTCTAGATGCTGCAACACTGAAATACATGAGATTCAGCTAGCCCGGTGATCTAATGATTCTGTACTTCCTGGCAGCAAGAATAAGGATGCTGTAATCCTTTGATATAATTATATTTCCTCCTGCTGCATTTCCAATAAGGAGAAAAATCCAGGAGAAAATGTATAAGGAGATCTGTTAGGACAGAAATATAGTAGCAGTCATTGCTGACTGTGGTCCTAACTCTAATCTATGGAAGCCTCCATCTTGGAGCATATAGAGCAAAGGATGAATTGGGTGCAGGTTCACCAGGAGGTAGCCCATTCCTCCTTGAAGGCACAGGGACACTACACAGAGGTGCCTTGGTAGGGCAGTGCGGCTTCCACATTATTTGCAAAAGTTGTGCAACTAAAACCTCTGTTTTTAACCCATATAGTTAGATGGTGTCATCTGGATTGGAGCCGAGGGCCCCCTCCCCTGGTTAAGAAGGGAATTGCCTTATTTGACCTTTTGCTGGGGTGAGCACCCCTATATCTGGTCTGGTACGTGGTGCATTTGGTGAAGGAACAAGAAATATTTATCACTATTGCTGTTTATATATGAACATATCTTCAGAGTTATGAACATTTACAGACTTCACATCTGATTTATATATTATTTATTCACCGCCATTTGTTTGAGTCACAGATTATTTTATTGTTTTTTGTATTGCTCATTGTTGTAGCTCGGGCCTCGGCACATTCAGTTATCCATTTTTTCATGTATACACACTCACAGTGGGTACATTCCAGTGCCTGAGCTAAATGTAAAGCAGAGGAGCCGTTTTGTACAAGTGATTTCAGCGGCTATACAGCCTGCTTGTGACTTGTCCGCCCCCCCTCCATAGTGCCCCTCCCACCATGGTCCGCTGCCTCCTTCTGTGCTGTGGTTTTTGGGGGCCCCTGCTCTTCTGTCACAAAGAGAGCTGTACAGAAGAACATGTGTGCTCTATTTTCTGTATTGGAGAGCAGGCTCATAAAGAGAACCTGTCACCTCTGAATGCTATGACACAGGTGCTTGTTATGCCCTGTGTGATAGTAATAAAGTTTAAGTGAAAAAAAAGTAAAAAATAATTTTTTTTTTAAAATTGATCAAAAGTAAAAAAAATAAATACAAATTATTAACTGTATGGGGGTCTCATGATTTCAACTGGTGGCCCTGCCTTCTGGGACTACACACATGCACTACCCCGGTCACTCGCAAGGTTCCGACATTTTGTTATGGGGTGTGGAGTGGGGGGCCCTTCATGGTTTCTTGCATGGGGCCCTGAGGTTTCTAGTTATGTCTCTGGCTGTTAGCTTGCTTATTGGTGCAGTTCATTGATAAATATATTTTACACAGTGTAATCTGTTTCATTGCAGGCTGCTGCTAAGTGTGCTGGGAAATGTTTGCTTTTGTACCCACGGATAGCTATGACACTCTCAAGTATAGATATCACATGACACTTTCGGGCATAGACATGACACGTGTGTTTCCACTCTCTCAGGGACAGACATGACCCTCTCAGGTCCCCGTGTTCCTGCTCTCAAAACAAATGGGCGTGCCTTTAGAAAAGTGCGAGTTCTCCTTGACATCTCCACTTCATTGGCTGTTCGGGTAGTGACGCCCATAGCTTCTCTTCTCCTATTGGAGGAAGCGCGTCCTGAAGCGGAGCTCTGGTGACAGGTCTGTGGGCGCTGCCCGAGGTACTGACAGCCGGAGTCTCCGCAACAGGCTGATCTCAGCCCGTGGAGCGAGTCCAGCCATGGCGGCCCTGGAGTGGTACGCACACAAGGCCCTGGGGGACGGCGTGTACTGGATCCAGGAGCGCTTCTACGAGTCCGGGAACCGAGCCAACATCTGGCTGGTGCAGGGCTCCCACCAGGATCTGGTCATCGACACCGGCCTGGGGCTCCGCAGCCTGCCGGACTACTTGTGCTCTTCGGGGCTGCTGCCGCACGGCAAGAGCGGGGGATCGGGGCGCCGGCCGCTCATGGCTGTGGCCACACACGTCCACTTTGACCACGCCGGGGGCCTGCACCAGTTCGATCAGGTGGCCGTACACCGGGAGGAAGCGGACGCTCTGATCCGGGGAGATAACTTCGAAACGGTGACCTGGTTGTCAGACAGCGAGGTGGTAAAAGCCCCTATCCCGGGCTGGAGCGCCAGTCAGTTCAAGGTGCAGCCGGTGAAGCCCAGCCACGTCCTGGATGATGGTAAATATGAGTCCGGGTAGGGAGCCTGGACTCCCGGCATGACTTCCATGTAACATGGACAGAGGGTAGAGGTCCTTCTAATCACATTCCACAACAGGAGAAACTTCCAGCACTGAGACATTGGAACCCAGGCGTGTTATACTGGGACCTGGCAAGGAGGGGACTGGGGGCAGGGGGCAATTACCTACCACCGGGGCCAGTACATGTAAGAAGAGACTTGGGGCTGCTGTCCTAAGTGGGGGTTTCCCTATTCATACCTTGATTACAGGGGCCCCCAAATCAGTGACATCTGCTGGTGTCATATAGATATCGGCACCCCAGTCAGACATTGATTACAGGGGCCCCCAGATCAGTGACATCTTCTCGTGTCATATAGATACCAGCACCCCATGCATACCTTGATTACAGGGCCCCCCAATATATGACATCTGCTGGGTGTCCTATAGATACCGGCACCCCATTCGTAGCTTGATTACAGGGCCCCCAGTTCAGTGACATCTGCTGGGTGTCATATAGATACCGGCACCCCATTCAGACCTTGATTACAGGGCCCCCCCAGATCAGTGACATCTTCTGGGTGTCATATAGATACCGGCACCCCATTCAGACCTTGATTACAGGGCCCCCCCAGATCAGTGACATCTTCTGGGTGTCATATAGATACCGGCACCCCATTCAGACCTTGACTACAGGGGCCCCCCCAATATATGACATCTGCTGGGTGTCATTATAGATACTGGCACCCCATTCAGACCTTGATTACAGGGGCCCCCCTAATCAGTGACATCTGCTGGGTGTCGTATAGATACCGGCACCCTATTCAGACCTTGATTACAGGGGCCCCCAGATCAGTGACATCTGCGGGGTGTCATATAGATACCGCCACCCCATTCAGACCTTGACTACAGGGGCCCCCACATAAGTGACATCTTCTGGTGTCGTATAGATACCAGCACCCCATTCAGACCTTGATTACAGCCCCCCACCCAGATCAGTGACATCTGCTGGGTGTCATATAGATACCAGCACCCCATTCAGACCTTGATTACAGCCCCCCACCCAGATCAGTGACATCTGCTGGGTGTCATATAGATACCAGCACCCCATTCAGACCTTGATTACAGCCCCCCACCCAGATCAGTGACATCTGCTGGGTATCATATAGATACCAGCACCCCATTCAGACCATGATTACAGGGACCCCCCAGATCAGTGACATCTGCTGGGTATCATATAGATACCAGCACCCCATTCAGACCATGATTACAGGGACCCCCCAGATCAGTGACATCTTCTGGGTGTCATATAGATACCGACACCCCATTCGGACCGATGTCACTGTCACTGATCAGTGACATCGGACAACAGGGGTGGGCAAAAAACAACTCTCCAGCTGTTGCAGAACTACAAATCCCATGAGCATTGCAAGATTCTCACAGCTGCAGGCATGACTGCCAGAGAGAGATGCATTATGGGTTTTGTCATTTCCCCACAGCTGGAGGGCTGGAGTTTGCCCACCCCTGGTCCACAATCTGTAGCATAGGGGAGAAGAGGTGGGCGCGACTGTTGTGCAGGCAGGGGTAACCCCGATTGCAAGATTTGTGGTTTCCCTGGACATAGGCATTAAACAACAAAGACCTGTTTTTACAACGGAAGGGTTAACTGGTTCCCTGCCAGGATGTAGTTAACAGCCCCCCAACTTGGTCCTGTGCTAAGATTTCATTTCAAGGTTATCAATGTGATAGTACAGTGTTGGTCATGGAAGACCTTTTCACAGTGCTGGGGCTTCTGGTTTGCTAAGAAATCAGACTACACGGAGACAGCTAGAAGACGCCTGTAGCCGTGTATTTATTGGTACACTTCCCATCGATATGTTTCTGTGGGTTGTATTCTGCCTGCAGCTTATTCCCTCTGGTTTTCATAAGATGCCTACTCATAGTTTCCAGCATGAAAACACAAAGCAAATTGCATGTGTGTATAAAACCACAACAGTCCAAATGGGTCCTTAAAGTGGAGCTTTAGGAAAATAATGTAATAGCAGGAAGGCTTTTTTCTTGCAGACGAGACACACTTTGGCAGGTAAAGCAGCACTCATACAGTATATGTATTCCATCCATGTATTTAGCTGTTTGCCTGGAGTCCAGCTTTCAATGTGCACTTATTCCTAATGCCCCCCCTCTCCTGATCTAACATTATTCTCCCTCCCCCTCCGCAGATGTATACCTACCGAGATGTTTATATTCCATGCCACAAGACCGGTGACGTGCAGTACCTCTGGTTCTGGGTGAGGCATTACCCAGCCTCGCCCCAACCCGCCAAAGCACCGCTCCAAACTCGGTCCCAAGCTAGTGTGAAGGAGGAAGGGAGGAGCCTCCCTGTCCCTCACTTGCTCATCACTGCTGAGGCATCGAGATCGATGGCCTCAGTCGTTTTAAAAAAAAACTTTTTTTGATTGGACAGCTTGGACCAATGGCGCTTTGCCATTGGTCCAAGCCATCCACAGAGCTCACGCCTCTAACACAGCTCTTGCCTCACCAAGTTAGGTTACACAAGTAGTGGGGAAACCCGCTGCTGTGTAACCTAACATAGCTGTCAAAAGCCGGATGCAGTGCTGCCTGTAATTAGCAGGCAGCGCTCCGTCCACGACAGGTTACACAGCGGGGAGGCTTTCCCTGCTGTGTAACCTGAAATAAGCCGCTCGTAATGGAGAAAAAGCTGCCAGCTTCAGACTTGAAGCTGACAGCTTTTTCCTCCATAATACTAGGTGAGGCTCTGCCTCACCTGCCTCCACTGACCGCACATCCCTGCACAAGAGTTCTCTTTTTCCTGGCTGTGTCTGTACAATAGAACCCTATAAAAGTCTATCACAATCCAAATGGTACATCTAGCTGTGGCGGTGGGGTCAGGTGTTGGATTTAGGAACAGGACTAAAGCTGGATTTGTTCAAGTTTTAGGTTTGAGGGTTACGTTGAGGATTGTGGATTAGGTTTAGCCTTTGTTATCAGTTTGGAGGTTAGGTTACCTTAATGCATGCTCACTACCTTTCCATGCTCCATCCCCGCACACTTACCTATGGTCCCTTGTCGCCGCCACCTTGTCCAGAAGGATCTGTGCCGTTTCCCAAACTTCCAGGTTGTGGAGGGTACGGAGGGCAGTTGAGGGATAGACTCCTTCTGCCATCAGTCAAATTATTGGGAGGAGAGCGGTGGAGGGAGCAGGAGTGTGGCTTGCCGAGCACCATGTGCATCTGTGGCCAGACCCAGCTAGGCATGGGTCACAGCCAGGAACGCGTATGCATGGATGTCATCTAAGCAGTTGGAAAGCTAAGTCCCCTTTCACACATGGGCGTCTTGTGAACACGCATCAAAAATACACAGAAGTGTGCTTTGACGTGCGTTCACGAAATGTACACAAACGGGGAACCCGCTTGTGGTGCCTTTACTAGTTAATGGCACCCCAAATGTGACCGACCAATCGCATTTTTTTCCTGCATGTGAGTGAGAATGTGCATAAACGTGCAGGGGGAAAAATGGAATGCCTGTTGCAGACTTTGTGACATGTACCACTTTCCTGCATTTGGCGCACGTCCAGGGACCCATTGAAATAAATACAGGAAACAAATGCCCACGAACGCACATCACCAAGACGTGCATTACTGTGATGCTTAGGTGTGAACTGGGACTAAAGGAGATACCCGCAAACAGGCGGAGGGGGTAGTGGTTTGGGGACCGTCTGGAAGAGGAGGAAGGAGATCATCATTAAGAAGGAGAAGAATCAGATAATGTGGGTGTGGATCTCCTTGTCTTGAAAAAAAAATGTAAGGATACATTTGTAAATTTAGTTTTTGGTGTTTTTCATGAGCAAATGTTATTGTTGCTGAAGTCAGTCCAGCAAAAAAAACAGCACCTAATTTATATAAGAAAATCAAAAATGGCTGTCTCTCCTTGCTCTCTCCCCTGGCTGTTCCTGGCTGCCTCTCCCCAGTCTCTCCTTGGTCGCTCCCCTGGCTGTCTCTCCTTGCTCTCTCCCCTGGCTGTCTCTCCTTGCTCTCTCTCCTGGCTGTCTCTCTTGGCTGTCTCTCCTTGCTCTCTCTCCTGGTTGTCTCTCCATTCTCTCCCCTCGCTGTCTCTCCCTGCTCCCTCTTCTGGCTGTCTTTATTCACTCTAGCTCCTGGCTGTCTCTCCTCGCTCTCTCTCCCCCCAGCTGTCTCTCCTCGCTCTCTCTCCCCCGGCTATCTTTCCTGGCTGTCTCTCCTCGCTCTCTCTCCC